TATAGGGTATACCATAGAAGGCACCAAAAAATGGAAGTCACTAGCCAAGATCAAGGTAAAATAGGAAGAAACCCTCGTTTTTCTTCTATTCTCACCACAACTTCTCGAACTTTGATCTTCTACTAAGCAGACAATGCATCCTTTTATTGCTTTCACGAATTTTGTTCAAGGAAAGAAAGCTATTAAGAACGATGTGTAGACCAGTGGGTTTACTCAAAAGAACTTGAAGTCTCTAGAATATTTTTTTGGAATGGCGTAAAACTCTCAAGAATTGTTTCACTCGGTCACGGTATTTGCTCGCAAAAAATATACCGAGATGATGATTCTTGAAGAACTCTTAGGTTTGTTTGATGACCTCTTTGTCTCATCGTGGTGCCATTGAAGATGTGGTGGAATTGTTTGGTTTAATGGTCGATGAAGGTCTTATGCCAGATGAAGTAACCTTATCCACCACACTTAAGGCATTGTCGGTATCTGCTTCATCAAGCTTCACGAGCTCCCAATTACCCGGGTACACCCCACCTTACCCGGGTAAATAATTCAAGCAATTTCTCAGTACGAAGTAGGGCCGGCAAAATGGGTTGAGCCCGCCGGGCTGGCCCGCCCCGCCTGCCAAATGGGGCGGGCTGGGTTGAGTCTTTCAACCCACCAGCCCGCCAAACCCGCCCCGCCAAACCCGCCAGCCCATATGGGTCAGCCCGCCACGGGGCGGGCTAGCCCGCCAAGTCATTTTTTTTTTTTTTTTAGGTTACCCAATTGTTATGTAGCTCCGTATCTTAGATTTCTCTGCTTGCAAGTGGCTTTTTTGAATTGTTGTGGACTGCTCATACAACACTTTGTTACTTGTTTTGTTATTCTATTTTATCCTGATATGATTTTATTTTTTTATTATTATTTTTGGATTGAAAGATGCATATTTATATGCAGATTATTAAACACTGATCTTCTTGGTTTCATAAGCACATTAGGATTTTATACAGATTTTTGTATGCTTTTATGCAGATTTTTTTATGTGATTTTATGCAGAATTTAATTTTTTGTATTTTATTTTTATATTTTTTTTATTTTAGGCGGGCTGGCCCGTAGCCCGCCAGCCCACTCATAAAACGGGCCGGGTTACTCAATTCAACCCATTTTATCAAAACGGGCCGGGGCGGGCCAGCCCATTTTGGGCGGGCTAGTGGCGGGCCGGGGCGGGCTGGCCCATATTGCCAGCCCTAGTACGAAGAACAATACCCGGGTACACCCCTCCCTACCCGGGTAGATAGAAATTTTCAAAAAATACCCGGGTAGAAAGGGGTGTACCCGGGTAAGCTTGGTGGTCAACGGTCAAACAGGGGCAGATTGGTGTTATGTTTTTTGAGGAGGTTAAATTTTTGAAATAGTTTATAATCAAGGTCAAATCGGTAATTAATTAATAATAAAGGGTTATAAGGGTCAAAAAGCCAAGTTTTTACAACTTGTATTCATTAGTGTTCACCATGAAGATTTTATGTTTTGGATTTTTGGCTGCTCTTGTGAGGCATGGAAGCATTTCCAATCATACACCACTACAGGTGGGTGGTGATTAAAAACATATCCTACAAACAGAATAGAATATCATTTGCTTTGAATCAAGAATTCAATTTGTGAAAATTTGAATGGGTAAGTGGGTAACTTCTGGAACATGCTCTTTGCCTGAAGTATAAAACATCCAATCGCCATTTCTGAACAAGGATTTCATCCGTAGTCCTCCTCCTCTTGTGAAAAGGTTTCTGACTTTATGTGCAACAATTCTTTCTGTTCCAGGCCCAGCTGCATTGTCGCTGTCTTAAATTTTTTTAATGGTCAACAGTATACAGCATAAGTTGCCGAACAGAAGTGATTATTTGACATAGAAAGCATGAATTAATTCATAAAGTTGCCATACGTACCATCCAAGTAGAGAAATAGCTGTAAGAAACTATAAAAGAAAAAGAGAAATAGCACCAAGTGAACTAGAAAGTAGTAGTACCTTAGCGGTACTTGTCATGTTATTTTGTGTGCCCAAATAAGGTTTGTTTTACGAGTAGGGATATTCTTATTACCAAAATTTTTTACTATCAATTCATTACCTATCTAATTACCATTAGATTAACATTTTCTCTTTTTTCAAATTTTTTTTAGCATTCTCTCTCTTTGATTCAATGGTGATTAGATAGGTAGTAAGTTAGTAGTAACAAATTTTGGTAGTAAGAATATCCTCTCTCTTGATTTACATATAAAAAGAAAAAAGAAAAACAACAAAGTTATTTCTACACCAAAACAAACTAGAACGCTCATTCTTGAGTGTGGAATCTCTTTACATATATTCTTTTACTTTATCAAACACATAGCTTTTCGTTGAAAACCAACCACCCATCTTTTTCATGTTTAATACTTTCAATTCATTTTTTACTTCATTTTTTTTGCTAGATTTTTCTCTCTATTAATTACAAATAACATGTGCTCAAATAATTTACTATATTTATTTTGTATTTATCTGCTAATTTATTATTTATCAGCTTAATTAAATATCAATGTTATACAGATAAGATTTTGCAGGTATTAATCGCATCAAGTGTTCGATATTATCAAACAATTCATCGTTTTTTTTTTAGAACACAAGATATCCATCTTTATTATCATTGATCCATCTTTGTATGGTTATGATTTTCCACATGACATAGTCATATGAATTTTCAGAGGAACCAGATCCAAATGGAGGTGGATCCTCCTATGTGCAAAAAAACATAATATGGTCATGTGAGAAGATCACAACCATACAAAGGTAAATCAACGGTTACGATTTCGTAACTACCTATTTTAACATTTTTTTTCTCTCCTCCTTTGTTAACATTGATCCAGTATGGTTATGATTCCCACATGACATGGTCATGTGAATTTGGAAATAGATCCTCTTATGTGCAAAAAAACATGTTATGGTCATATGAGAAGAGCACAACTATACAAAGGTAAACCAACAGTTACGATTTCGTAACTACCTATTCTAACATTTTTTTTCTCTCCTCCTGTATTACTATTGATCCACCTTTGTATGGTTATGATTTTCCACATGACAAGATCATGTGAATTTTCACATAAGAGGATTCAGATCCAATTAAAATACATTCTCTTGAGTTGAAAGTGGCTTAATTTCTTAAAACCATTTTTTCATAAAATTTTCATGTCATTCTGAATTTCCTTCTTTTATATTTTAAATTTAAATTCTTTTGTTTAAATTATGCATGTTTTCTGTATAACTTTAAATATTTTTCTTTTTAATCTATATTTTTAAAATTTTATCTAAATTAACTATACATATCTTTCTTATAACTTCAAATAATTTTTCTTTAATATCTATACTTCTTAATTTTATACTTATATAAAAATGCACGTATAATACATACTTAGTATCACTTTAATTATTTATTTATTTTTGATAAACTATCACTTTAATTATTTATTATTAATTGAGAAGTTACAAAATCTCAGCAACAAACTTTTTAACATTTTTAATTTTTTTTAAGCTAAATTATATTTTTATTATTTAATACAATTAAATGATGACCTTACTAAATAATCTGAATTCGCTTGATACTGATAATATTTATAATTTTATTTTATAATAAAAACTGTGTTAGAAAAATATAAAACAATATATTCATCCTATCCCTGTTCAAATAAGTCGGTAAATTCTAATTCGTAATGTCTCTGTTCCCATTGTTAGCTGTCTGCGGTGGATACACATACACACATGGTTGGTTATCTAAGGAGGGTCTCATCCGACACGTAGCACACCGACGCATTGATTTTGTTGCCCTAGTCAAATTGGGACCACTTATGTAGTGCATTTGTCAAACGCAAAAAATAAACACTAAGCACCTGTTAGATTATTGTTTTTGAAAATAAGTTTTTGATTTTAAAAAAAAAATAGAATTTGTTTTTGATAAGGTCTTTTTTACAAAATAATTCTAAAATTATAATTCCTTTTTAGTTTTTAGAATTAAATTAAGAGAATATGTCTGATTTATTCTTGTTTTATGTTTTGATTTTTAACTTTCAAAATAGAAAAAACACAAAAAATACTTATTTCATTAACTATTCTACAAAACAGTTTTTTTTTTTTAAATAATAATAACACAATCAAACAAGCTCTTAAAATACCAACCAGGTTTTGAATTTATTCTGACTTGAGTTTCAACAAAATAATGATTAAAATGGACATAATATTAGTAATTTAAAAAGATAAAAATATTTATCACAATTCATTGATATATTAGTGTTAGTAATTAAATAACTTGTTCTTATCTGTTTTACAAGTTTTATCATTAAAATTGTTATAATTGATCTCTTGACATTCATATTATATCTTGAGTTAATAACCAGACTCGTTATAGCCAAAAAAAAAAAGTCAAAATTAAAATTAAAATTAAAATTTCGATGGAATTTGAGGTTAGAAGTTTGATCCGTTAGCCTTTGGACTATACTATGCAAAATTCAAAATTATTTTTTAAGTTAATGTGATTCTAAGAAAAAATTATCAAAATAATGCAGTAAAACACAAGGGATTGTACATGTTTACATGATTAATAATAATTTGCCCCCGGCGTAAAACACACCCGTGTATGTGAATTAAACAGCACAATACCATATATTTTACTGCATTATTCTGGTAAATTCTCTTAAAATCACATTGACTTGGTAAAATTATTTATTACTTGCATGAAAAATGCGTCAAAAGGCCTTGATCTGCCATTTAACTACCTTTTCATTTTTAGGAGAAAAGTGATTATGTTTAGGCAAGCAGATTTGTGTCTACACACAGTGTCCTAGTCCACAAGTATGGGGGTAAGACAGCAATAAACTAAGCAACAAGAAGAAGAAATTTTGAAGTTGACAACTGTTGACTATTTTTCCCAGTGCTCTCTCTCTCTCTCTCTCTGTCTCTTCTTTCAACACTCTCACACAATAACACAAAGGCAGCAAGAGAAAAAGACCTTATAACTCTTTCCCACAAGTAGGGAAAAACAGTAGTTAAAGACTTAAAGCCATAATAACATCATAGCAAGAAATGTTCTCCAAAAACAGTTCAAATCCAATCTACAACAAGAAGAAGAACCCATCATGGTTTCTCTTCACTATAGTTTTCCTCTCATCTTTACTACCCCACTCACTTTCTGATCCAAGAATCTCAGAAGCTGGACTCTATTGTGGCACATCCAAAGCCCCATTAAAAGCCAACTACATCCCAAGTTTCATCAAAGAAATGGAGAGCCTCTCACAGGTTGTTACCAACCACAACTGGGGCACTCACTTTGTGAACATCTCAGGAGCCATTCCAATCTATGGCTTTGCACAATGCTTCAAAGACCTTTCTCACACTGATTGCCTTCTCTGCTATGCTGCAAGCCGCACCAAGCTCCCTAGATGCCTCCCTTCTGTCTCTGCTCGCATATACCTTGATGGATGCTTCCTTCGCTATGATAACTATAGTTTCTACTCTGAGGTCACTGACCCTTTGATGGATACAGTTAACTGCACCTCCCAGAATGGTGTGGCTGTTGATGAAGCTGAAAGGTTTGAGCTTCAGAAGAGTGTTGCTGAAGTGGTTGATAGAGTTGCAGTGTTGGCTGTTGATAAGGGAGGTGGGTTTTCTGTGGGAGAAGTTGAGGGTGTTTATGCTTTGGCACAGTGCTGGAACACTGTTGGGAGTGATGGGTGCAGAGATTGCTTGATGAAAGCTGGGAAGGAGGTTAAAGGTTGCTTGCCAAAGAGGGAAGGGAGGGCCTTGAATGCTGGGTGTTATTTGAGATATTCAACTGAGAAGTTCTACAATGAAGAAGGTGCAGGAGAGGGTGGAAACTGTAAGTGTGTTATTGCTTTTTAGATTATAGTTTTTCTATTTCACATTTTTTCTAGATAATTGGATTATGGAGAGACTTGGAGCAATGGAAAGATTGCTTTTTGTGATCGAAAGATCAATGATTTTGAGTCTGGAAAACAACCTTTTTGAAAATCTGCAAGAATAATATACCATCGACCTTTATATGTACCCTCATAAGTTGGGGAGTCTTGTGTGCCGAGATTTGTCTTTGCCCTTTAATTGGATCATGGGAATTAAACCTCACCTTGGAATTTTCTTTTTATTCATTTGTTTGTTTATTTATTTCATATTCATTGTCTGTTGTAAAGAAAAGTTCTGTTACTCTTCAATTTTCCTATGCTACTGAACTTTGGCCTAAATAAATTCTAGATCTATGTTCATAGATGGCACTGAGAGAGAAAATATTTCTTTTCCATTTTTCAGGGTCTTTAAGAAGAGGAGCCATAATAGCAGCAGTGTTAGCTGCAGCTGCAGTTATGATGCTTGCTTTCTCTGCCTGTTATGCAGTCTTCAGGAAATTATCAAAGATAAGAAAAGGTGAAAATTCATGAAATGAAATTATCATTATTCACCAATAAGATATATTTGTGAGTTGTGAGTCTTAACTTTCTTATGCTGTGTTTCTTTTCTCCTCAGAAAACAATAATCTTGGTCAGATTTCCTCTTCTATAAGCAAATCTAGCTTGAATTACAAATACGAAACTCTTGAGAAGGCCACAGATTATTTCAACTCTTCAAGAAAAATAGGCCAAGGAGGAGCTGGTTCAGTTTTCAGAGGTATTCTACCAAATGGGAAAGTTGTTGCAGTTAAGAGATTGATCTTCAATAACAGGCATTGGGTTGATGAGTTCTTCAATGAAGTAAATTTGATTAGTGGAATTGAACACAAGAACCTTGTCAAACTATTAGGTTGTAGCATTGAAGGGCCTGAGAGTCTCCTTGTGTATGAGTACTTACCCAAAAAGAGTTTAGATCAATTTATCTTTGGTAAGTTCACTTCATAAGATCAAATGCTTATTTATCTATAGTTTCAGGAAGGTGACACACTAATCTTCTTTGCAGAAAAGAACAAAACTCAGATTCTAAGCTGGAAACAAAGGTTTAATATCATTCTTGGAACAGCAGAAGGGCTTGCATATCTTCATGGAGGCACTAAAATAAGAATCATCCATAGAGACATCAAAAGCAGTAATGTTCTTCTGGATGAGAATCTCACTCCTAAGATTGCAGATTTTGGCCTTGCCCGGTGTTTTGCTGCTGATAAGACACATTTGAGCACTGGAATTGCTGGAACACTGTAAGTCCTTGATTTTAGTATTTGCTCACCCAACAGCTTAAGCTTTTGGGTTGAATTGGTTCTTTACATGGTATCAGAGCCTCGGTGTACCGGGTTCGATCCTCGCCGCCCCCCACTTTCTTTCAAGTGGAATTTCTTTGTTCGCACAGGTAGGTGGGCCTGTGCATTGTCCACCCTTCAAGCCCAGTGGGCTCTCGTGTGAGGGGGCGTGTTGAGATATATAAAACCATTAATGTAGCCTCACCCAACAGCTTAAGCTTTTGGGTTGAATTGGTTCTTTACAATGTTCACCATATATAATAACTATACATACATAATAAGCATGTCAGTTCCTGAAATATGCTGCTGCTTTTAAGGAGCTATTCAATCAAGTTAGGTAAAAACGCAATATAAGTTTTGATAAACCTTTTCAGTTTAAATCCTTAAAGAATATGGATCACGAAAAGTTTCCTAATGTAGATTTCTAGCACAACCCTTTTTGTGAAAAGGCACTCCTAGCATGTAAAGAAACCATTCAACACAAAAGCTTGAGCTATTATTTAAAACTAGTAGTAATTTTATTCATTTCTCTAACATGTTCCATAGTCTTATTAACACTTGATTTTTCATTTCTGGAGCAGAGGTTACATGGCTCCTGAGTACCTAATTCGAGGACAACTTACAGATAAAGCTGATGTTTATAGTTTTGGAGTACTTGTTATGGAGATTGTATGTGGCAGGAGGAATAATGTCTTTAGAGAGGACTCTGGCTCCCTTCTACAAACTGTAAGATAGTGCCTAATTTGCATAAAACTTGTTTTTTTAGGCTTACTGGATTCAACACCTTTTGTGTGCTTGTTATTACCAACTGAAAAATTGCTCTTTTGGCAACAGGTTTGGAAACTTTACCGATCAAACAAATTGGCTGAAGCTGTTGATTCTTGCTTGGGAGGTGATTTTCCTGAAACTGAAGCATCAAGGGTGTTTCACATTGGATTGCTTTGCACACAAGCTTCTGCTTCCCTTAGGCCATCAATGGGCCAAGTTGTTTACATGTTAAGTAATTCAAATGTAGATGTTCCAACACCAAATCAACCCCCATTTTTGAACACTGGAGTGCTAGACTCAGATAGCTCCATTCGGTCTTATAGCACAAGCAGCTTTATATCCAATGCCTTAAAGAAGATTGGTGTGTCCTACAGCTCCTCAGAGTCTTCTAGTTCACACAACTCAGTTGGGCCATCAAAAAGTAAAGAACCAGTTATCCAAGCTTGATTTCCAATAGATTCATAGGTTTTGGGAAGTCATGTCCATATGTTGTTTATTATAATTAGTAACAAAGTTTGAAAGATTAGAGTTGACCAAATACATGTAAGATAGCAAGTGAGCAAAGTTGATTAAGGTTGAACAACAGTTCACTAACTGTAGAAAGATGATTAACGTGACATGGTTCGAAGCCTCTTGTTTGCAATGTTACCATTATTTTTAGGTTTAGTGGGTTTGTTTTAAAGGACACAAGTTATGTGTTTTTAACAGTTTTAACTATGTATTTTGGAGAATGTATAGTTATAATATTAAAGTTAGGGATAAGATTCGTTTACAATTTTTTTTTTTCAAATTACACTAAGTACGACCGGTCGTACACTGCATGATTAAAGTATAACCGGTCGTACTTAGTGTAGTTTGTAAGAGTTTGTAAACAAAAAAGTTTGTAAATATAATCTGCCCCTTAAAGTTATACTTCTTTCTTTCTTTTTTCATAAATTGTATGCTGACGTGAATAGTAAAAAAAATACAATTTTAATATTATAATTATTTATGTCCAAAAATATATAATTAAGAACTGCTAAAAGGATATAAAATTTGTGTCATTTAAAATTTCATTGCTTTTTCCCCTTATTTTTATCGGTGATTCCGTACAAAAAAGAAAGAGAGAGATCTCATGGCACACAGAACATGTGTAATTTTACTAAGAATAAAAACATTAAATATGAGAAATCATAACCATACAAAGGTGAAAATAAATATAAAGTATTAAATATAGAGAATCATAATCATATAAAGATGAAAATAAATATAACTATTAGATCAATATAATCGATCTAACGGTGAAATTGATTGGTAGTAACATTAATAGTAACACTAATTGATTGTTACAATATTTTTCTCCTTAAAAAAAATAATGCTCAAATCTAAAGGCTTGTATAAATTTATAGGGATTGATCACTCCCTAATTTCTCCCTCGCTCCGGATATATGATTTACAACTCGATCACGTCTAATATGGTCCAATCCTTAATTCTGTTTTATAAAGTAAGAAAAAAGTGCGTATCATTTTAAAAGATTTAAAATTGTGTCATTTTAAAAGAGAGAAAGAGATAAATAAAGAAGGAGAGAGAATTGACAAAAAAAATAAAGGTGTGAGTTTCGCCTAGAGTAAAATGATATAAGTTGTGTCATTTAAAAGGATAAATATTTTTCCCATAAAATAATATCCGCTAACCTGTTACGATTTCATTAGAAGTATTTATAAAAATTATTGACGAATTTCCTTTGCCAAATTTGGTAATAACATCAAAGATGATTAACCTTAGGATTTTATTAGTGTTATGTAACATAATGTAAGTGTTGTTTCCAACCCTCACATCAAAAGGGAGAGAGAAAATGAAATGATGAAAGAGAAAGAAAAATGTGTAGACCTCACCTCTTTAATGTGTGTAGAAAAGTAAAGTTATATTATGTTAAATGATAAACATAAAACCCTTAACCTTATTATCATACGTGAAAATGTCATGCATGTGAAATAACAGCTTCGGTTAGGTTATAATTTAGGGGTTAAATAACATAGGTGGGAACAATTATTGTGGTTCTGTAGAAGTGAAACAGGATATTTACACGGTAGGATGGTAGCTGAAATTCAAATTGATGCTGATGTGATGCAATTTTCAAAAATTGAAAAGATGAATGGGAAATTGAAAAGATGAAGCTACAGTGTAATAAATTTTCTTCCTAATTCAACAGCTGGTAGAGTTACTTGTTAACAGCTAAAACCAGTTATGCAGTTTGGCACAGGATGTGGGTCCCAGCCATTACTTGGAGTGCCACGTGAGACGAAGGTGGATGGGGTTTTGTGGGACATACCATTTACAAATTACAAGTGCTAAGCTACGAGAGAATGAAACTCGGAGAAATCTCACTATCTCAGTGTGGTCCTGCTCATTCATTTATTATGACAAAAGCAATGTCCAACTACTTGCTCCACCAACAACTTCAGTCTAATAAAATCGATTTATTTGTTTTTAAAATGATACCTTAATATTATGTTACTTATTTTTTTTTTTGAAATATTTCAATCGGTTTATTGTTTCACAACTAATCCGATTTAGAACGGTTCCAGGATTAAGGTTTTAAACCCCTCCCAAAGATGGTACTGGAGAGATTTGAACACATGCTCGCACTTCACCTGCTTAGCTCTCATGCGCCAAATAAGGTACCACCATTTGGTAATATTATGTTACTTCTTGATTATGAGATAAGATACTTTGATACCAGCGTCAAATTTTAAAATTTGATACCAAATCATACCCGTTGATTTTCGTCAATCAACGACTATTATTTATTGGGAATCAAATTTATTAATTACTATTAATTTCCAATAAATGATAACTGTTGATTAGCAAAAATCAACAGATAGAATTTAGTGTTAAATTTTAAAATTTGACACAGGTGTCAAAGGATCCTGTCTCCTTGATTATTATTATTATTATTATTTCAAGACTTGATAATTTATATATTTATTTTTTTACAATTTTTAGTCTATTAATTTTTAAAACAATTTTCATTGCTTTTGAACAATTGGAAATGAAAACAAAGGAAGGAATATTACAATAAAATTGAGATACAAACTCAATATGATTTAAGAAAATAATATAAATAAAAATGTATGCATCACCAATAACTTTTCGGTTGAGATTGTTTATCTAATTAGAGAACCTTATTAATGAGTGATGTTATATAATTTTAGTAGATAGTGACTGACAAGATATAATGACAGTGAATTTTACCCGATTAAGTTCACAAGCGAGGAGAGACCCATTGTCTTTAATTGTGTCACTTTTGGGCAACTAAACCTTTGAAATAACTTTGTAATGGCCGTCAAAAGTAAAAAAGAATCCATCTCCCGCATTCCAGAAGGTATTACTCATTGAAATTGTGGTAATCTTATCTATCTTTTTTCAATCAGGGCTAATCCAAACACAATTGGTGAATGTATTCAGCAGTCAGCACCATGCCCTTTCTGCTTGGTTATTCAGTACTTGGTGTGGTTGCGACAACTGACACTTTTAGGCAATAAGTGTACAACAAAATTTTATAGAACACCCTTATCAGTCAAATCAAGCATTTGCATTTGAGGGATTAATCTTCAGTAATACGGTCGTATTGAGTAACTAGTTTGATGGTCGTATTATAATTATATATTCTGAAAAATAATAATTATAATATTAAAGTTATGTCAGCTAATGTGAAAAAAAAAAAATTAATATTATAACTATATATTTTTCAGAGTACATAATTATAATATAATTGTCATATTAAGTGCTTAGTACGACGAGGATGGTACTCAAAATTTGTTCTCTTAATTGTTCGCATTTAAGAGTCTCCACCCAACAACAATACCAACACAACTAATATAACAATAACATTCACCGTACCTAACTTACTCACTCTACCCAACAAGGCTACTCTAGATACTCAACCCCACGAATGTACCAATATCGGTACTAAAAAGGAAACATTTCATGATTTGATGGGAATACTTAAAAAGATATGGATTAAAATATATAAAAAAATTTCTTCTTTTGGAAAAAAGATGTACCAACTTGGGTACATCTGATGCACGAAAGAAATATTTGCTCATTACACCTTTCTCAAGCAGGTCATTAATTTAATTTTTTTTTTTATGTTACATCAAATCTTAGCCATGCCTTGATTTCTTGTGCATTAATAACTCACATAATTAATAACTATAATAGTTAGATATAAGTGATATCAATAGTGTTCCGGATTTGATCCATGGATCCCACATTATTTATTAATAACATCCTAATGTTAGTATTTGGGTGTCCTAGAGACAATCTTATGATTAAATAAGGACATAGATGTAGACCTTTTTAATATTGTCGAAAATAAATAAAAACACTCTTTATCTTGTTTCATAATTCTGTCTCGATATTAATGTTAATATATTATGAATAACTTGATAAACTCTGTGGAATAAAATAGGTATCTCTTGAGTATCTGTGATGAGATCACAATCATGAGGATTCAAGAATACCGGATGTTTATTCCTAATTTTATGTTCTTAGTCTAGAGATACTGAGAATGGGGTCAGTGATCTCGGGTAAGACTAGCACGACTTATCTACTTGTATATGGATACAAGGTATAGACCTCATATGCTACAGATGTGGAGATGTCTTAGCTAAAGTCGTGGGTGGACCTATAAGGGTATAGCTCGCACTGAACAGACCCACAAAGAGACTCTATGAGGAACTCTCACAGAGAGTATCATTAGAGTAGTCTCTTTATATTTGGGTATGTCTTTCCTAAGACCAGAATTTATTACCTAGACTGTGTTCTAGAAGGCATGCTTTGATTGTGCACCTCGTCTGCCTGAAACATGGAGACTCATAGGTATACTGTTGGGCTTGTCCTGAAAGAACACAGGGCTAGGGTGATAAGCTGAAGGAATTCGTCAAATCTCTGTGAGAGAATAGGTTATCTGTAAACCGGAGAAATCGGAATGACATTTACAGGGACTCGGGAATCTATGCATAGTAAAAGAGATCATGAGATGATCTGCCTTTAGAGTCTGTAAATTGAAGATTCCTTATTTTGAATAAAGCTTACCCTAAACCGCAGGGGTTGATACGCTTCCTTACCCTAGGTTTTATGGGAAGGTAACCGAGACGAAAGGAAATATATACGGCAACCAAATATATGTAATAGGATGATCAAGTCACTAATCTAACTAGTTCTGGGGCAACAAAACATTGCTAGTGCTCTGTGTTGTCATTAGATGGGTTGTGGGCTTATTGGGCCCAAGCCCATTTATGTCAGTGGCTATGTTGTTATTAGCCCAAGAAGTAGTTTGGAACTCCACAGATAGGGTGGAGGGTGCATGAACTAAGTAATGGGCTTGGATAGTCCAAGATATTACTAATTAATTTAATTAGTTAAATTAATTATCAAATGTTTAAATTTTGAATTTTGAATTTGAAATTTGAATTTTGAATTTTGAAATTTAAATTTTGAAATTCGAATTTTGAATTTTGAATTTGAAATTTGAATTTTGAAATTTGAATTTTGAATTTGAAATTTGAAATTTGAAATTTGAATTTTGAATTTTGAAATTTGAATTTTGAATTTGAAATTTGAATTTAGAATTTTGAATTTGAATTTAGAATTTGAATTTGAATTTAGAATTTAAGTGTTTGAAAGTTTGAATTCAAATGTTTGAAATTCGAATTTGAATTGACTATGAAAAAGTTGTTTCATAACAAAAGGATAAGATGAGATCTTGTTGGAACATATCAAGAGAAAATCTTTT